CTAAGCTTATTGCTGATTTGATAACAAGGCTAAATATGAATATTCTGAAATAAAACGCTGAGGGACACAGTAATGGATCCAATATGTCAGGTGCTTACAAAAAAGCTCAAGCCTTAGTAAGACAAAATTTTTCAAAAGCTCTGTACGTTTCCTGTAGTCCTCACAGCCTGAGTTTGGCTGGTGTGCACGCAGTTGAATCAGCCATTAAGATTAAAGTATTTTTTTAAAATTTTGAATCTTGGTACGTAATTTCTAACGCAAGTCTTGCCCGATTAAAAAATCCTCAGACCAAGAGAAATGTTTGCAGCTCTCAAACATGTTATGACAGTCCATTTCCACGACAGCTAAACAAAAGAATTCGAAGTAAACGTTTTTAATGTTGGTTCAGATAGTCTGATCCAGCAGATTGACAATTCAAGGCAAGCAGGATGGTTGGTAAAATGTTTTTACTCGCCTGGTTTAATAATGATAATCTTTCCCAGTGCCGGATTAAGGAAAAATAGGGCCCTAGGCACTAATACTTTTGGGGGCTTCATTTTTACGTTAAAAAAGTTAATTTTGTAAATTATTGAGTATTAAAGTATGTATATTCATTAATCTAAATATTTATCAATGCACGTAACCCTTTTCTTCATAAATATTAAAAAATTATATGTTAAATCTGGTATTTTTTTTTTTTTTTAAACATAATACATTTTTTTAAATATATTTTGCATATCTTTCTTAACGCTTATATTCAGGATAATTGTAAAAACAACTTATAAAGGATACCCCAATTTACGAAATCGGCATTCTTATACAATATGCCCTTATATATATATTTTTTCCTATATTTTTTATCGATAAAACTGCTTATTATATCATTAAAATTGATCTCGCGAAGATTATCCGATTCAATAGGCATCAAGCTCAGCATGTCTAATCTCTCCTGAAGCATGGCACTTTTTTGCTCGTTTTTAATTCGTTTTATTTTTGAAAACGAGCGCTCCGCAGAACAGTTTGTAATCATTAGTGTTGAAAAAAATGCAAAGAACAATTTTGACGTTTGGAAAAACAAATGCAAGTTTGTCAAGAACCAAAGTGAAGTTCAAAATCAGAGAACTGAGTTTTTGATACGAATTTTAATTTGACGTAGCTATTACATTGCCTCAATTCTGTATAAAAAATTTCTAAGTCGTTAGAATAAAAAAATCAACCAAGATTTAGAAACATTCTGTCGATAGTCGTTTTTTCTAGAAGTTCAAAGTTAGCCAAAAAAGAAAACATCTCCGCGACCTCTAAGTAAACTTTGCTTAAAGTTCTTCTTTTTAGGCAAATTCGCCTTGTAACATTCGCATAACTGGCAAGATTGATTTTGCTTTATTCTCAAATTTTTCAAAATTGTCTCTCATTTTGTTTAACATACCTCCTAACGATGAGAACATCAAAGCGCAAGTTTTGAGATCAATTTGTTCTGACCGAAGAGCTTTGCTTGTTAATAAAACTAATTAAAATATTGCTCCTCAATACGAGCATGAAGATTAATTCAAAAGTTCTTATTTTACTGGCAATACATTCAGCTTCGTCCCTTTTCGAGAGGGCTCTTCAACAAAATAATTCAATCCTGTCAAAATTGCTCAGAAAGAATTGAGAACTGCTTCGGTGGCGTTTGGGTGAGCCTCCCGATGCGTATTCGATAATAACTTGAGTACTTTTTGTTCCCACTTTGTTGTTTTAAGACATCCCAGCGATGCATCCAGAATAATTTTGACACTCTTATGGACCACAGTTAATAGTAAAACTGACTTAATCTTTATAAAAATTACCTTACTTTCCAGGATCGGAACGACAGTTTTTCTCAATAGTAGATTCATTTCCGCAAGTAAGAGAATCAGATCTAACAATGTGTTTTTCAAGATCATTCGAACAGCTATCATTCTGAGGGTTTGACTCATTTTGGTGAGCAGGACATTCGCTGCTGTCGAAATGATCAACTTTATCTGTTTGTGATTGAACAAATTTAGGTTTAATCTATGATAATGCATAAATAAACAAGTGTCAATTTTATAGAATTAAAAATTGAAAATGTTTCAATAAAATCCAACTTAATTAGAAAATAAGATACAAAAGACCATCAATTATATAAGTTTATTTGAGCAAACTAGAAAAATGAAACACTTGCTTTCTTTAAAGAACTTGCAATGGTTTATTGTTATGATTTAAACTACATTTAAGTTCACAACCCACTGCGATCAATTTTTCGCGCGCAGTTTGAACTAAAAAAAATTATAGACAATAGGTACCTACAAAACAAGTTTTTAACAATACTGAGGATAAAATAAAAAACAATTAATAAAAAATTATAATAGCAGTAGCAGTAATTTAGCCTATTGGGTAATCCAGTACTGATCTTTCCGTATAAAATAAAGCTAGAGAACTTGCACAGTTTTATCCCAGAGATGGGAACAAAGAGAATCTTATTGAAGAAGTTTTTTTTAACGTTGTTTTAAAAAAGTTTTAA